CCCAGCCAGCATGGCTGGCTGGGGAATTCTGGGAGTTGAAGTCCACTCATCTTAAAGTGGCCAAGTTTGGACAACACTGGCCTAGGCAGTTCCCAGGTATCACATCATCACTCTTGACTTTTTAAAAAGTCCCTGAAGTCAGCGCTTTCAGTCTGCATTTGGTACATGAGTAAAATTAGCTACTCTGTGTGTATTTTGCTCTGTGTGCAATTTATTTCCATATTTTATTAAACCTGCAAACCACCCTGTAAAGCCAGCGTATCCTAGAAGGTTAGTTAAAGGTCTTTTAAGTAAATAATGAACCAGTAGGTAACATTTTGCAAACCAAAAAAATAATTACTCTCTCTTGATTATGGTTAATACCATTATCCATTAATGTATGCAATAACCACTGATGTATGCAAGTGTCCTTCTCAAATAATCCCCTGTTCATCCTTGTTTAAAGCCTATTTTCACTGGATGCTTTTCACTGTGAGTAGAATCGTTACTCAGATGGTATTGTTCACAGACATTTGGTGTGCATGGTCTGCAGTGGCTGAAAGAACACACAATGGGATCTGTATATTATATGTTTGTGTACAAAGAACAACATGTAGATTTTCACAGGTAACTTTGGGTATTCTTCAACCAAAGGCAGAAATGTACAACTTTTTTGGGGTAATAGCAGTCCACCTGTCTGGCCACAGCTTTATCATCCAAACATTACAGTATATTTTCCTTAACAGTATATAGTGAGCATTATCACCACAGTTAGTACTCTACTGTGTAGATGTTTCCTTTTTTTTAAATCTAGAAAGTGGGTTTATTTTAAACCATTTTGCATCCAGAAGCTTTTCTCAGAGTATCTAAGCAAGTTCTTAGTTTTGTCCATTCAGTCACAATCCCAAGGACAGATACCTGATGTGACTCTGCTAGGATCTTCTGCTTCCTGAGCCTCTGGCTTCAGCTCTGTTTTGCTTTGGGCCACCACATCAGGCATTGAACTGGCTTCTTCTGCCTCTCCTAGGCAGGCTTCTGAGACCTTTTTGCTGATTTTTGCAGAGCCTTTTCTGATCAGTGTAGAATCTTCCTCTGCTTCCCAAGGGAAGATGTTGTCCATGGAAGTGTCTTCCTTGCTTTCTGATGAAAGGATCTTGTTTATACCTTCTGGCTGTGCCCTTGGAAGACTGCGGCACAAAGTCTTGTGCCCAGCCAAACTCTGCTGCTTGCTTTGCGCTCTTTTCCCAGTGTTTGTTGATACCTCTGTTCCTGCTTCCCATGGACAAATCTCTCCCTCATTGGATGCCTCTGATTGATTGGCTTCTTGAGGGGAAATCTCCATCTTTATGTTTTCTGTGCCATCAAACTTCTGTGAAGAAGTACTGGTTACCATGACATTTGCAGCATCTGTACTCTCCCATTGGAAGTTAGACTGTTGAGAATTGCTAGTTTCCTCCAGAGCTTCTGGTGTTTTTGTAGGGTTTCTTGAACCTGTTTTCACATTCCCTTTGGAAGTCCAACCCATGACCCTACTTGATGTCCCCTTCTCAAGTGGAGCCTCAGTGCCTTCCCAGGGACATACTTCAGCCTTCATGGTAGCTCCAGCTTCCTGCATTTTCCATGGACAGAATTCTGTTTTTAGGCTTTCAGCATTGTCCAGTTTTATGGACAGATCTAAACTTTTATGACTGGGTTTTACTGTGAGTATGTCAGTATTTTTCTGGGAAGAAACTGAACCTTGCTGGCTATGGGACTTGAATTTTTTAGCTCCCATTCCTACCCAGACTTTCTTTAAGCTTGGACTTGTCAGTGTTTTGCCTTTTGAAACTCCACTGACATCCTGTCTTAATATCCCATCATTGCTAGATGTAGGTGCTGTTTCCATGAGGCATATTTCAGCCTTGCCACTGGATTGTTCTTCTTCCACTTCCCAAGGACACACCTTTGCTTTTGAGCTTTCCGCATTCTCTGATTTCTTCAAGCCATCTTCGGGCAATGCTGGCCTTTGGCTGCTTACTTGTTCCGAGCTCTCCCAAGGACAAATAGACTCTCGTGAGCTGCTTACTTCCTCTTGTCTCTTCATCTGCCTCATTAAAGTTTTGGTATCTGCTTTATCATTGGAAACCTGTTCTGACTCCTTTATAAAGGTACTTTCAGCTGGTGGTCCTTTAGCTGCAGTCCAAGGGCCTATTTCAGTCTTAACATCTGTCTGAAGCTTCTGGTATTCCCATGGACAAATCTCTGCCTTTAGACTCTCAACACTTCCAGTTTTCTTAGAACTAATTTGCAACAGATCTAGGCTTTGGGTGCTTTTTGCAGGTGACTTATCAGTACCCATACTTCCCGAAGGAAAAATAGATCCTTGATGGCTTTTTGATTTCTTTATTTTTTTAAATGCTATTTCTCCCCAAACGTTCTTGGAATTTGGACTTTTTAGTGCATTGCCTTCCTTTTCTTTGCAAAGCACACTTGGGACTTGTTTTAGTTTTCTGGTTTTTAATGAGGCCATGGCTTCTGTCCATGGACATATTTTCACCTCTTCTGAGGTTTCCCATGGACAAACATCTGTCCTTAGACTTTCAATGCTATCAGATTTCTTTAAGCTAGTTTTGCAGAGAGCTGGACTTTGGTCACCAGATCTTGCTGAAGGTTGCTGAAGCCCCGTGCTGTCCCATGGACAGAGGTCTTCCTGTAAGTTGCTCAGTTTTTCAATCACTTTAGACAAACTCACTGGGGAAGTACTTTTGCAGCCATCATCCACTTTGGAAGCGTTTTCTGTGGCCACTTCCCAAGGACAGACTTCTGCCTTTAAGCTCTCTGTGCTATCAAAGTTCCTTGAAGGGATTTTGGAGAGCATGCTGGGATCAACACTGTCCCATGGGCAGACAGATTCCTGGAGATTGCTTACCTTCTCTATTATTTTAGAAGGGCCTGTTTCATTCTGTAAGATAGTCTCATGACTATCCCTATTTTCCCAAGGACACACTTCTGCTAAGAAGCCCTCTGTACTGCCAGTTTTGGGGGAGTTTAGACTTTTAACATTTGACTCACATGACAGTTCATCAGTGTTCAGGATTTCCCAAGGACTGCTTGTCTCTTGTGAGCTACATGCCTTTTCTGGAGGCTTAGACACAATGGCTACAGTCCTTTTCATTGCTCCTTCTGTATCCTGATTGGAAGCTCTTTTATTTGAAGGTACCAATGTTTCCCAGGGGCAGATTTCTGCTTTAATGGCAACTTCAATGCTTTCAGCTTCCCAGGGGCAAACTGTTGCCTTTCGGTTTTCCAGGCTTTCTGAGTTCTCTGAGTTGAATTTGGACAGACAAAGGTTCTTGGATGTAGGCTTGACCAATAAATCTTCACTGACCATGCTCTCCCATGGACAGATAGATTCCCTATTCTGATTGTTTCCTTTTGCAAATGCTACTTCTTTAGTTCCCTTTTTCTCCTCTCTGGAGACTCCACTTACATTCTCCTTAAGTTCTCTTTCTGATGTTGAGGGATCTTTATTTTCCCAGGGACATACTGCTGTTTTGAGATTTGGTTCTTGTGTTTCCCAAGGAGCTATCCCTGCCATTTTCCTCTGAGAACTGTCTGACATCTCTGAGTAGATATTACTCAGATCTAAACATTTTGCAGTTGTCTTTTGCAAAGCATCCTCCAATTCTGTACCTTTCAAAGGACAGATCGAATCATGCCATATGTTATCTTCAGGTGTTTTCAGAGGATTTGATGCTTTCCATATAACATCTTTGGAAGGTTCTCTTTTAACCTTTTCCAGAGGGCATGAAGCCACTTCACAGGGACGTTCTTCTGCTGGTTCAGTTTTTGAAGGACTAACTTCTTTCTCAGTATTACCAATACATCTAGGTTTCTTTTGGTCAATGTTGGATAAATCTAGGCTTTTTTTAGACTCTGCTCCTAAAAATGGTTCCTTAGTATCCCAAGGATCGTGCTGACCACACGCCTTCTCTAGAGTTTCAGGTGAAAGAGCCTCTCTTAAAGACCTCTCTTTTCTGTATTCATCAGAAGGCTTCCTTTTGTTTTTTTTTATTGTCTCATCATGTGGCAAGGCACCACTGATTTTCCAGGATTTTGTGTCACTTTTGTTGCTGGATATGGCATTTGCCATTTCCCAGGGACAAATATCAGCTTTCTTGTCTGTCTCTGAAATCATTAACAAGATGTTAGAAGTTTTATTCTCTCTGTTTTGATCTTCTGTTGCCTCTCTGGGACACAGAGATACCCACTGGTTCTTGGTCTTTTCCAATCTGATAGGGGAGATCTCCTCAGCACTTTTGAAAGCTGTTGCTGCTAGGTTGCTCACTCTGTCCTGGACATCTTGGTTCATCTCCCAAGGGCACAACTCAAGGGCTCTGTTTAGATTATTCTTCTCTGAGCTAGGACAAGCCTCTTCTTCCTCATCCCAAGGGCAGATAGCTGCTTGTTTGCTGATTGGCCTTGCCCTGCTATCTCCAGGATTCCTAGAGGGTACTTCTTGCTTTGATGATCCTTCAGTAGACATTAAAGCTGTTTCTGCCAACTTGGGTTTTCCACTGATGTCTTTCTCATTTTTGGCTTCACTGCCCTCACTGTTCTTTGCTGAACTTATGCTTCTCTTTATCTTTGAACGGTTGAATGCTTTAATGGCCATACCTAAGCTTTTTATGGAGCTCTTGGGAATGAGGCTTTGGGATTGTTTCTCAAGAGAGCTGTTTTGATTATCTGAATCACTCACCTCTACATCTTTCTTGCTTGGAATGGGCATTTCCATAACCTCCCAAGGGCAGACTTCTGCAGCAATGGAGGCTAGCCTAGTTAGTCCCGCTGGAGAAGAAGGTGGCACGCTATCTTCTCCATGCATAGTCTTTTCCATTTCAGTTTTTAATGGAGAATACTCTTCTGTTTTCCTTAGACATATGTTAACTAGCACTGGAATATTTTGGGGTTCCTTTTGAGGAGACTGAGCAGGATGTCGCTTTTGATCATAAATATCCCAAGGAGCTATATATTTCCTTTCAAGGTTGTGAATCAAACTTTGCTGCCTGATGGGAGGTTCAGGTGGTGCCCTCTTAATGGCATGGTGTCTTCTCCCAGGCAAATCAGAAATGTTGATGCTGACGCTCCTGATGGGGGCAGATGTTACATGCCTCTCAGCTCTGCTTTCTAATGGTGTTGATGGGGCTGTCACAGCCTCCCATGGGCGCATAATGTGCTTGCTAGAGCTGCCACCTTCTAGAAGGTGTCTCTCAATTTTTTTTGCTGTGTTCTCTATCTGGAGCTGTTTCACCACTATTTCTGAGGCTACATCACAGGATTCAGCATGTCTAGAGACCTTACTTTCTGTCATGGTATCTTCCACTGCTGCTTTTGTGTCTTTCTCTTGGGAAAGTTTACGGATATTTTCTAAATAGGCTGTGCTAGTTAGCAGTGAGGCATTTTCTTTTGCATTGCTGGCAACACTGAGAGATTTCTGCAGAGGGGAGTGCTTGGGGTGCAGAGATTTCTTATCTGCTAACAGGTTGTGAGTACTGGCTGACTTGTATACTGGAGTGGCTGAATCAACAGAGTAATTGTCAGATTTCTCTGAGGTTTTCTTGGCTAGTTTTTTCCTCATAAGTGAGTCCAACAAAGAAGCTTCTTTGCCACTGTCATGTCTGGTTAGTACACTGTTCCCCTTGACATCCCTCCTATAGTCATAGGTACTATGGGATTTCTTCAGTGGAATCCCACCTTGTGCTTGGAAGGCCACCTTGTGCTTGGAAGAGAAGTCCTCTTTCAATTTCATACTCAAATTTCCAGAGCCTGAGCCTTGTTGCTTGTAGGACCCAGAATGACTTTGTCTTCTTCCACTGATAGACCCATCTTTCTCCTCCTTGCTGCACTGGCGGGATATAGACTCAGGTAACTCTGTGATACGTTTCATCAGAGTGTGGCCTAAGCCCCTCTTTGAACTTCTCTTCTTCTGAAGATGAGGGTTGTTTACCAGCATCTTCTTGGTCTTGTGAACTTCCAGCTGTGTATAAAGCTTTTTCAATTCATCCTACATGTTATGTGTAGGGAGAGGGGGAAATACGGTAAAGGGCAGGGGAGCACAGATAACAGAAGAAAAATAAAACACCTTTTCAATCAAAAGTATAACAATAATGAATTGTGTCCTCTGGATGGAATGACAACATGATTGGGTTTACTAAAGTATCTTTTTCAATTGCTTAATCTGTATTCTTAGGATGGCTCTTTATTCCTGGATTAAATGGAATATTCCTGCCATGAATCTACTACTCCATGCTGCTGCTTCTACAAGGCCTTTTTTTAGATGGAAAGTACAGGTAGTCCTCGACTTATGACCACAAATGGGACCAGAACGTCTATCGCTAAGCAATGTGGTCATTAAGTGAGTCACACCCAATTTTATGACCTTTTTTTGGCTATGGTTGTTAAGCAAATCACCAGTCATTAGGTGAATCCAGCTTCCCCCATTGACTTTGCTGTTGATACCCCCTGGGAAGGTTGCAAATGGCGATCATGTGGCCCTGGGATGCTGCAACTGTTGTAAATACATGCCAGTTGCCAAGTGCCCAAATTTTGATCATGTGGCTGCAGGAATGCTGTGATGGTTGTAAGTGTGAGGACAGCTGTAAGTCACTTTTTCAGCACCATTGTAACTTTGAACAGTCGTTAAACAAATAGTCGTAAGTCGAGAACTACCTGTAGTGGTTGAGAAAAAAAGATTGGTGGGACAGATGTCTTCTGTGATGGAGCAGCTTTGTTCAAGTATCTGGTATGATTGTGCATGACCTCTGGTGGGCCAGGGATGGGGTTGGCTCCTCTATCCTGGACCTTCTTGATCTCTCAGTGGCTTTGGATAATATCCTGCTGCACTGACTCAGGGGGCTGGAAGTGGGGGGGGGCACTTTTCTGATGGTTCTCCTCCTTCCTCTGAGGCCAGTTCTAGTTGGTGTATGTGTGTGTAGGGGGGAGAGATATAGCCCTAGGCCCCTGATTTGCAGGCCTAAGCTCTGTCCCCATATCTATTTAACTTCTACATGAAGTGCTGGGTAGGTCATATGTTGGCATGAGGTCACATATCATTAAAATGATGGTGATACTCAATTATGCATCTCTCTGCCTTGGAATGCTCAAGCCATGACATTGAGATTCTTTCTCAGAGCCTGGGGGCTGTGAGGGTCTAGACAGGGAGGGCCAAGCTTCAACTCAACCCTAGCAAGACCAAGTGGCTGCGGGTTTTAGTCCCTCCCCCCAGATCTGGACAGTTTCCATTTGTTAATTCCGGATGGCCTTACACTCCCCTAGACTGAGTTGTTGCACAATCTGGGGGTCCTCCTGGACTCACAGCTCCTGCTCAAGAAGCAGATGGCAGTCATGGCAAGAAGGCCTTTGTACAAAGTTGTAATCCCAGTTGCATCCATTCCTGGACTGGGAGATTCATTCATTCTTAATCATTTCCCACTTGGACTATTGCAATGCACTTTACATGGGGTTGCCTTGAAGGGCATTTTGAAATTGTAGATGATATGACCATGCACTACTACTTTGTGAGCTGCACTAGTTTCTAGTAGGCTTCTGGGTGCAATTTAAGATGCTGGTTATCACCTATAAACCCTACATGGCATGGGGCCAAGATATTTGAGGGACCGCCTGTCTCCAAAGGTTTCTGCCCATTCTACCAGATCCTGCAGGGTCCCTTCTCTGTTGCAGTGCTTGCCTTGTGGAACAAACTGCCCCACTTAATTTTGGCAGCCTTGACCCTGTTGGCCTTTTGGGACACCTTAAAAACTTGGTTCTTCTCTCAGGCCCTAAGATGAGGAGATTAGCAGAACCTGATTTGCATTTTTTTACTTTGAAAGACAGATTTTTTACCTGCCTTCTTTTACTGTTTTTTGTCTTGTTTCCATACGTATGTTCCTGTTTTTAGGCTTGTTAGTCACCCACAATTATTTAAATTTGCAAGATAGATAGATAGATTGGTCAAGAGATAGATGATAATGTGCAGTTTTACAAAGTGCAAAACTGAGAAGAGGCTTAGTTGATTTGGGGGTGTGAAAATGAAGAAGATGAGTGCTGGCAGTTTGTAGCTCACATCAGCAACAGCATTCAGACTGTATGTGATTCAGAGCAGGAAGTAGCCCTGAAAGAAAGGGTGAAATGCTCTTTGTCTGCCCCAGGAAAGGAAAGGGCTTATTTCAGTTTAGCAGGAGTTCAACCTCTCTCCCCCACCCCACCATTCCTCATCACCTCTATTCCCACCTATAGCCAAACCCCCAAGGAGAGACAGGAACCTCAAACGTATTGCATAATCACCTTCCCACTGTGAGAAGGCAGGGAGAAGTGAGGGCCTCAAACGAACCATGTTTGCTAGGGG